TTGAATAAATCAATAAATAACTGTTTCCTACCCATCCTCTTTTTTTTTTTTTTTGGTGGCTGGTGGGTATGGGGATCCAAACCCTTGTCCTTGGTGTGATAACACCATGCTCTAACCAACTGGGCTAACTGGCCAGCCCTAAATCATTTTTTACATTGCTGCAAGAGTAATCTCTTTAAAAAGGAAATCTATTGTGTGATTTCCAGCTTAGAGCCCTTCACAGATTTAGATTTTAGCCTTTGGGGAAGAGTCCTTAATTATTCACATAGTCTATAACGTCCTCAGGGGTGGGGCCTCTGCCTACCTCACCAGTCTTTCATATCACTACCCCTTTAACTTTTTGTGCATGAACCACGTGATACTTCTCTAGTTTTCCAAACTCTACCCCATCTGAGAGTCTTTGGGCCACTCTGCCCCTACTCGTATTTAAATGTAACTTCTTCAGGGATGTCTTTTCTGACTCATTCTGAATCAGGTTCTCTCGTATACTGTCAGCACGTCCTATATTTTTCATTCTGGGCACTTACTGCAATTAATAAGTATATATTTGTATTATTATTTGGTTAATGTCATTTTCCCCAGAAGAACCCACTTAGGGTTCATCTTCTCCGTCACTGTATTCCAAGCACTTAGCACAGATATCTGCATGGAGTAGGTACTTGATAAATCTTTCTGAATGACTGAATTACTAAGTTAATGGATGGAACCCAAGAATCCTAACACCAACCTTATTATTCTAGCCTGAGGATATGTATACCTGGAGTCTGTTTCTATCTGAAGTTACAAAATCAAAATGGTAGCATGAGTACTTTCCCACCTCACCATTCAAAGATGAATTTGGAGATGAAGGATGGGGGTGGGGCAGTGGGAGGACAAATAAAGTGGAGACCCTACAAAAGCAAACACTCATAAGAATAAAGTTAAACAATAACCTACACAAATAATCACATGATTGAATTGTTTACTGTATAGAAAGTTTTATGTACCATAAGGATCCCCCAAAGAGAGGTGTCAGAAGACTTAATTTTCAATTCGGTCTACTTCTTGGAGAGTAGAATTTTGTTCCTTTGGCCAGGATGCA